CACTGGCACATCCAGACCCCCGGCGGCACTGTGGAGATCGCCAGTCCCAACGTGGGTGCTGACGGCCGCGTCCTGCCCGGAGCTCCAGCAGCGCCTGCTGGCCGGCCACGCTTTCAGGCCTTCGCCAACGGCAGCCTGCTCATTCCTGACTTTGGCAAGCTGGAGGAGGGCACCTACAGCTGCCTGGCCACCAACGAACTGGGTGGCGCAGAGAGCTCAGTGAATGTGGCACTGGCCACCACGGGTGAGGGTGGTGAGGATGCTCTGGGGCGCAGGTTCCACGGCAAAGCGGTGGAGGGCAAGGGCTGCTACACGGTTGACAACGAGGTGCAACCGTCTGGGCCTGAGGACAACGTGGTCATCATTTACCTCAGCCGTGCTGGGAGCTCCGAGGCAGCTGTGGTGGGAGAAGGGGCCACAGGGCAACAATGCCTCAGCTTGGTCCTGGTCCTGGTCCTGGTCCTGGCCCAGGGCCTGTTCCTCCTTGGTGCCCCCTTCTAGTCAAGCTCCGGCCTGGCCTGAGGTTGGCACCAATGCTGCCTGTGTTCCTCATAAGTGCCAGGGGTACAGAGTTGGTGACTTCACATTCTCCTACCTCCCTTCTAATCTCTTCCGGGCACCCAACGCCCCAGCCCCTAGACCTTCTCAAAGTGAGGGGCTGGTGGGGAGCTGGGTCCCAGCACCATCTTGGTGCCCATTGCTGCTAACAGAGTTGCCCGTGACCCCCGGGCTAGCACGCTCACGGGGTGATGCCAAGCCACTGGAGTCCTGGGTGCTGTAACTGACAGTGAGGGCCACGTGGTGCGGGCTAGACTACCAGGGCAGAGCCAAAGGGAGAGGAGGAAGGTGAGGAGAAGGCAGGGGTGGTGGCTGTGACCCCTGTGCTCCCTTGCCCCCTGGTGTTCTCTACAGCACAGACTCCAGAGCTCCTCTGCCTCCTCCCGGACAGGCCTGGCCTCCCTCTCCTTCCACCTCCTTCCCAGCCTGTGCCTTCTACCCTGGATGCCTGCCCACTCTTTCTTCCCTCCAGTTTGTATCTGTACCCTGCGCCTGCAGAGGGGCCGGCCTGGGTGGCAGAAAATAAACAGCATTTCTCACGCTCCTCTGTGTCTGCCTGGACGGGTCTCAAACAAGGGACGGGATCTAGAACTGGAGAGTCACGGGGACTGCAGCTGTCACAGTTGTCAGAGGACCAGCAGGCGGGAGCCTGGCATTACAGGGGCCCTTTAGGGACCCCAGGAACTCTGAGCCATATTTGATGCCGGCCTTAGCCCCAGGAACAGGCAAAGGACAGCCCGATTATAGCCTTTCATCCCTGTCTTGCTTCTGGGAGAGACATGAGGAAAGGAGAGGAAAGGGAGGAGACAGAGAGGGGATTCTCAGAAGGGGACACATGGACAGGCCAGCCCCGGGGCTCTGTGCCAGTCAGAGTGACCCCCTCGCACTTCCATCCACCCTTCTGAGATAGGGGCAGTGACCCAAGGGGCCCCTGGTGCCTGAGCTCAGCAAAATGCAGGCAGGAGGCTGAGGAGCCTAGGGTGGCAGCTGTGCATTGGGGGGCTGGCCTCCCCCCACCTCAGCCCACACCTCAGCCCGCAGCCTCCCCTGCCCCCCTCCTCTATCAATGTGCACCTTCGGCTGGGCCAGCAGTGGGGGGTCCAGGATGACCCCCACATCTGCAGCAAGACAGAGCTAGTTTTCACATGCTGTGCTGCCTTGGGTAAGTCACTGCCCGTCTCTGGGCTTGAGCTGGCTCAGAAATCAAATGACAGGGTGGGGCAGGGTTCAGCGTGGGGATAGACCCCATGGGCCCCAAGGTCTTGGGTTCCTGGAGGAGGAGGGAACCCCAGTCTGACTCAGGGTGGCAGGCAACGTCATGCTATGGTGAACTAGTGACTCCGCTGCTCTGGGATGAAGCCTGAACGCCCAGACAGCCAGCTCGGCCCCTCTGCAGGTCCTTCCCACGCTGTCTTCCCACAGTGCCCGGGCAAACCTCACCCCCTGCAGTGCTTCAGTGACACTGTTCCCTCAGCCTGTCACCCTTTCCCTGATCTTCCTTTGGCGGAGACAGGACCATCGCTTCCAGGAAGCCTCCCAGGATGAGCCCTTGGCCCTGTGTGGACTGGGCTCCCACAGCCCCAGGCGTCCCGTAACCCAGCCTTCTCACACTCCATTGCCTGTGTTCTCAGCCAGGGCAGAGGGCGAGTCCACACCCCCCGCCCTGTGGCCCTGCTGATTGCCAGGAAAGCACTGTCAGCTGACCCAGATCTGTGCAGGGCCGCCCTTGCCTTGTGGCTCCAGCCCCGCGGAACCGAAGCCACATCTCTGTTTTTCACAGGTCTCCAGTTCCCCCTGCTCTGGCAGAGGAAGGACCCCAGTCAGTCTCACCCCTCCCCTCTTCACATAAGGTCTTTGGCCATGAGGATGCCACCTCCCCGCCCCCAGCGGGGCACCCCTGCCTCCCCCAGACCCTCCCATTCACCCCTTCAAGGCCACCTGCTCAGGAGTGGCATGGCAGGTTCCTCCACCTCCATCTCCCAGAGGACGCAGCTGGGGTCTTGTCAGCCACCCCAGCCCACACAAGACCCTTGCAGTCATGCAGATTTGCTGCAAGTGGGCGTCCGGATGCCTCACCGTAAGCAGCACAATTTCTGGGGCACAGGTTTATTACCAGGAGCACACTCAACCCTTTCATCATCCCTAAGGCAAATAAACTACAAATGCCTGGCACTCAGGAGGGGGTAGGTCAGCCTGGTTCAAGTTGTGATTTTACTGCTGGAGCCGGAGCCCAGGTCTTCCTTCTGGGCTGCCTTGGGGATCCAAGGAGAAGAGAGCCAGCCGCCCGGGAGGAGAGGGGAGGGCTGGGCTGGGCTGGGCCGGGGAAGTGGGCGGGGGAGGCCTAGGCTGAGACTCAGGCTGGAAGTTCAGGGGCTGGGCTATCCTGACCCCGATCACCGGCCCTGTCAGGAGGCCTCAGGGGTTCCTGCAAGGCTGGTGGCCCAGCCAGGCAGGGGAGACAGGCCTGGGGTCCCCTAGCTCCACTGGCTCCTGGACCAAAGCTGAGACCAGACACTGCCCCCGAGCCCAGGCTGGTGCTCCCAGACTACCCACCCTCGGCTATTCCAGTCCCCAGCTGGTCCCAGGTTCCATGATCTCCCGGCTGGGATGTGCTGGCCCAGCTGCTCAAACAGAGGGGATGCCCTCCTCAAGTGGTTCGGGACAGCTGGGGAGGTTCGGGGTCAGGTGACCCTCAGGCCTGGGTGCCGTTAGCCCGGGCCCCAGCCAGGGCTGCCTTCCGAGCGGCCTTCAGGGCAGGGTTATGCAGCAGTGTGTAGGCCACCCCCCAGCGGGCCCAGCTGCGGCCAGCACGGAGCCCTGCTGCCTTGGCCACAGGGTCCTTCGTCTGTAGCAACTGCATCCCTGAGAGGGAGAGGACTTCTGTGAGTCGCTGAGCAAACACCCTGCCAAGCCTCCCCAGTCCAGACTTGGGCAGAGTCTAAAAGTTCTCACAGTCGGAGGGGGGGAAGTCTGGGCTCCACTGCAGGCCCAGAGGGGACAACAGGGAAGCATGGGACTTATAAAGGAGTATGGAGTCACCCACTGGGAGGGATGAGGTCTCTGGAGGAATGAGCTGGTTTAGTGTCCCCTCCTGCTGCCCATATCCTGTGCAGTGGGGGATGAGGAAGACACACACTCCCCAGGGAGAGGTGGTGGTGGCAGAATCTCCAACAAGGCAGCCACTCTGTTCTTGGGCCAGAAGGGACGCACCTGTACCCTCTTCCCAGGAGAGGATGGGGAGGCTGGGGCACCCAGCCCAGGGAGACCACACACCTTCTTCCTCCTCCCCGGGTCTGAGACTATTCTGGGCAGCAGCTGGGGACTGGGTCCGGGTCCGGGGGCTCCGCACTCCCAGGAGCAGGGCACAGAAGGCTGTCACAGCTGGATGCGACTCACTGGCTTCCAGCTTCAGGAAGTTTCTGTATGTGTGGTAGCCTGCAGCACAGCAGGGGTGGCCATGCTGGGGCAGGAGTGGCACAGACACCCCAATACACACATGGGGAGTACGTGTGCACCCCCGTGTCCGAGCATGCCAGGCAAATGGCACATGGCACATGGGTGTGGCCTGCTGGAGCACACCATACCTGCAGCCTATCTGCTGCAAAGCAGCCACACACACCTTAATAGACACATCAGTCCTCAGATCAGAGCGACCCCAGACATAGCCCTGCCCAGGGACCTTACCAGGGTCCATAGTGGCAGCTCTCAGGGGCATCAGGCTGAGGTCCATCTGGCTGAGGTGGACGATGTTGTAGATGGCAGACAGCAGCACTCTCCAGGTGGCCACCACGGCACCCACCAGCACATTGATGGGGAAGAGAAGAAAGGTGACCACATAGAGCACTCGCCTGGGGGCAGGTAGAGGAGGCTCAATCAGGACACACCCAAACCTTCCCCAGGGTCAGTATGAGAACCGAATGCCCCCATGGCCATGCATGTATTGAGCACCTGCCTGTGCATGTATTGAGTGCCTGCTGTTTATCAAGCCTGCCTCTGCACCCACTACTCTAAGCCAAGCCTTCTCTCTCTCTCCCCACCCACCACCCCAGGAGAGGGGAAACTGAGGCTCAGAAGTGTGACCAAATTAGCCAAGGCTATAGAGCAACTCAGGGGCAGGACTGAGATTAAAGGCTGTGTCTACCTGTGTCTTTCTGTGGCCCTGGCATCTCCCGCCTTCCTCCTCTGGGTCCCCAACCCAAATCCTTCCCAGGGCCCATGCTCCCCGACTTTGCCATTTGAACCATCCTTTCCGCACAGGGGAGAGGGTCAGGGTCAGGGTTAGGGGTGCAACTCAGTGCACAGTTCTCCCCAGCACCATGCAGAAATGAATAGAAAAATGTAGGCGTGGCCATCAAGCCTCTCCTCTGGGGCAGGTGCCCTCAGGCTCCTGACAAATATGGGTTGAGATGCAGTGCAGGGACAGAGGAATGGAAAGAGACACTGAAAAAAAAACCCAGGGCCGCCTTACCTGTTGGTCACTTCAGGGTATCCGTGCTGAGTGTCCAGGAAAACCCAACGGGCTGCTACATTCTGCAGGATCCCAGCCAGGACCAAGGTCAGCCAGAAGGGCCTGCAAGCAGGTAGGGGCAGCTGCAGTTAGTGGCCCCTGGGACAGGGTCCCCAACTCCCTGCCCCATTCCCTCACCAGGAGGACTCCAGGAACCGAAGGAGCAGGAGGTTTCTGCCATGCAGCAGAGGCATGAACACCAGGAAGGCAAGAGCTGTAGCCCCCAAGAAGAAGACAATCTGTTGTACCAGGAGCCCTGCGGGGACAAGGGTGTCAGAGGACAGACATAGAAGCTGGCCCCCACCCCACCACCCAGGAATCCAGAGCTTTGGAGCTAGGCTGCCCCGGCTTCAGATCCCTGCTCTGCCACTGCCTAGCAGTGCCACATTGCACTGGTTACACTGCCTCTCTGAGCCTCAGCTTCCACTCCGTGGAAAGAGACCCAGGGATATCAGATCTGGGGCAGTGCTTGGAAAACCAAAGCAGTTTGCAAACGTTATCTCCCCTGCTTGTTCCTGAGTCCCCAGAGGCAAGACCCCTTTGAAAATCAGTGGCTTCTTTCCCCTTGAGCCAGAGCAGGGATGGGGTAGATGTTGGGAGTTGTCGATGGCAATAGCCAGGCTACCTGATCAATGAGACATGCGGCAAAGGCCTTGGGGGCACCTGGTCTATGAGAAAAGAGACCAAGCTTTCAGCCCCAGTGATGCCTCCAGTTATCACCCTCCTCCTCCTCCCCAGTGAGGTGGGGCAGAGGCACTGAAGGGAGGGACATGTATGCTGACCCAGCCCCTCCCACAACACTGTAGTGCCCAAGGGGATAATTAGAAATTGCTCAAGAAGGGGCCTCCAAAGTCCCCTGGTCCAACTCTTTCAGGGAAGGGCCCTCTTTTTAGTCCCCAACAAGTCCATGCCTGCTTGCATACCCCCAGTGATGGGAGCCTCACTACCTAACAGGAGCAAGAATGTGCCACCCTGAACTCATCACCTCCAGACCAGGGCCACCCCTGTACTCAAATCTGGTGGCAGCCAGCACTGGGGCTACATCACAAGATGGGACCCCTTCCCTGAGGGCTCCTGTACCCTACTCCACTCGGAGTGCAGCCATTTTGGGGTGGCAGGCGAGGAGCTCACCAAGGCAGGTGAAGGCGGCCTGGTAGGCACAGAAGCTCATCCAGCAGAATATGGCTTTGCGGGATGGGCGATTGCTCCTTACTGTGGGACCCAGGTCCAGGGAGGCCCCACGATGCAGAGCTTGAATATTGGCCCTGTGGTGGAGGCAAGGGTGTCCGGGGCCTCAGGGGTGGTATGCTCTCCCTAGCCCCTCCCCAACCCAGCCCCTGGCCACACTCCGGAGCTAATTGCCAACACAGCCATCAGCAGGGACGCTCAGAGCCATGGGAGCCTGGAGAAGGCCACCCACTCAATCTGGGAGGGCTTCTGGAAGAGGTGGTGCCCAGGCAGTCTTCCCAGGACGTGGGTGGGGGGTGTGAAAAGGGGAGACAAAGCCAGTGGAGCAGTAACCAACCCAAGCCAGGTCAGAACGGTGGGGACCAGCAGTGCTGATGAGGGTGACAGGAGGCCACTGGTACAGAAGCAAGGCAGACAGGGCCTCATCCCTCGCAGGTGGATGCCGGCTGCCCTGTTTAACCCAGGACTTCTCTGGGTCCCCCAGGTCCCCACTTGGCCTCTTACCTGTGCGTGGCCAGCGAGCGGAACAGGAGCAGGATGGTGAGTAAACAGGACAGGGCCAGGGTGGAGGCGTAGCACACTGGGGGTATAGGGTGGGGCTGGGATCTCAGAGCCCCTGATGTACCCGGCCCACCCTGGGACATAGGAGGCTCTGAGGCCGTGGGCCTATCCCTCACTTCTGGGACTCCCATTGAGGGATCCCCAGCCTGGAGTCTTTCCCCCACTGCCCCTCCTGCTGCATGGCCGCAAGTCACTGCTTCCCTTCTCCTCCATGTGTCCGTGTGCCGGACATGATCCCCTGCCATCTGTCTCCCAGGATAAGGCCACCATCAGACCCCATAGTGTCTGCCCCCGCCAAGCCTCTGACAGGGTGCAGAGTGATGGGTGCCAGGCTCACGAGACCCCAGCCACAGGCCTGGCCTCTGGCCACTATCTGCCTACCTCCTGCTTCTGTCTCCCCCCATGGGCTGCAAACCTGGCGCCCATGAAACCTTCCTGCTCTCTGGTCCTCCTCCTGTCCCCTCTGGGCCCACTCAGTGGCTACAGATGCTTTCTCATACCCACAGGGCCTTCAGGACAAGGATGCAATTTCAACCTCAGTGAGACAGGGTCTCGCTGTAGCTCAGGCAGCCTCAAACTCATGGTGATTACCCTGCCTCAGCTTCCAGAGTCCTGGGATTACAGTCGTACATCACCACCTGGCTAGTGGCACCCATTTTGTAGGTAGGGAAAGTGGAGGTGGCCCTAAGACACCTGCTCCTTGGGCCAAGAGCAGACCCAAGGACTCAAGCCCACTCTGACTGTAGCGTCAGCCCCTTCTCCAAGCCCAGCCAGAGTGAATAGTCCAGGGAGGGACAGAAGCCAGGAAGGGAAAGGAGGTACCTGCCCTGCCCAAAGCATCCCAGACCAGCGGGCTCATGTCGATAGATACTGCCCACGTCACTTTCCCCTATCCTCCTCCTCAGCCTCGGCCCCCATGACCACAGCCTCCTCTGTGGACACACCTGGAGCAGCGGTCAGAGACACTGGGCCAGGGGTGGGGCCAACCCTGAAGGTGGCAAGGGGTGGGGGCTACCCAGACAGTGCCTGAGGTCCCACAAACCTGAACTGGAAGCCCCAGCTGCACCAGCTGCCCCGGTTTCAGTGAAACAGCAGAGCCCAGGGAGGTGGGGGCAGTGCCCAAGGACCTGGCTCCCATGGCCAGGGACCCAGCCTGACTCCCACTCCTGTGCCAACACAGTCCCCTGGGATGCTGGGTGTCCTCACCTTCCAGCACCCACAGATGGTGCCTCACCAGTTCCACCACCTCCTGCCGGTCCTTGGACAGCACCAGCCCAAAGCCAGCCAGTAGGTAGGACACGTCTGTGGTGAGGCCTGCCCGCACCTTCTGCAGGGTGGGCACCACACCTGCCAGCAGCAGCAGAGCCACCTGCAGGGTCAGAGAGCATCTTGTGCCAGAGCAGTGAGGCCATGGCCTGTAGCTCTCAGGGCATCCCGTGTGTTTCTTAGTGTCCCCAGGCCCAACACCACATGGTGCAGACAGAGATGACATCAGCCTGAAGGGCTAGACAGAGCTTGGGCAGTGATCTGCAGGGCTCCCCTCCATCCATCTGTCTGTCACCTGCCTGTCACCTATCATCTGTCTATTATATATGCATCAACTACCGTCAATCAGCTGTCATCTATTTGAGTTGGGTCAGAGCCATTGCTGCATGGGGGCCACAGGCAGGGATTTAGAGGTAGATGGCACTGTGGGGTGCAGGACATACCTGGTAAGTGGTGGTCCCTGTCAGGGTGGCTGAGATCACCAGCTTCGAGGGCAGGCGGAATCCTGAGGTCCCCAAAGAAAGAGGTGTGGTGAGGAGCAGCATCAGGCACAGCCCACCCAGCAAGGGGCCTAGGGAAAGGCCAGAAAGCCAGGCACCAGGACCAAGCCAGGGGACTTCATTACCCCAAGCTGACAGTTGTCCATCCTGGCCACAAGGGACCCATACCTGGCTGTGGGATATAGATGTATCTTCGAGAGTAGTCCCAGGCCCGGGACAGTAAGTCTTGCTTAGAAGTGCGGTAGGAGCTGCAGAAAGACCAGGCAAATGGGGTCACAGGAAAAGCCACTGCTCTGGCTAAGCCACCCCTCATCTGTCCCCTCCTGGCCACCATATCACTCCCATGGGTGCCTGGGCCTCACCAGCCTCCTGGCTGCTTCCGGCACAGGAGGCTCCTCAGGTATTCCTCGGAGTCACGGCTCCACAGCCCCTGGGGACAGACAGGGATGGGGCCAGAGACATGCCTGAGCTGTCCCCAGGCTCTGGGCACCAATGGGGACACCAAGCAGGTCTCCAAGGGGACCTCTTGGCCATGCAGGGGTGGAGGTATAAACGGCTGACCTTTGACCTACAGCAACAAGACCCAGGTCTGGCAAAGCTGCCCTATTCTCTTCTGCAAATCTGAGACCCTTCAGCCTGCTCTCTGAGTGTCCCCAGGTTGGAACATCATGCCCAAGATATCCTCATATCTGTCCTGTGTCTGTCCTACCTTCTGGCCTTCCCTACCCTCGAGACAGGACCTGAGAAGCCTGGGTCCCACAGGCATACCGCTGACCGGGACATAGCACGGGGTGTTCCAGGGTAGGTCCCTGACTCTCCTCCTGCTGGGACTCAGGGAGATCACAAGGGTGACCAGATTTGCTTGAGCCACATTCTAAGCCTCATGCCTCCTGCAAAATGGCAGAGGCCATGAGCAGGTAGCCTGAGCTGCGATCCCAAGAACCCAGGTCATGGTCATCCATTGCCATGGAAACCCAGGCCCCAGGCCAGAGGGGGTCAGCTCAAGCTTGGCTTGGGTCCTCGGCGGATTAGATCTCTTTGACCAAAGTCCAGAGAGCATTTATCCCTTTCAGGAAAAGAGGTGATGTGGGGGGGGGGGTCCTGAAAAAGGACAAAGGGTCCCTGGTGGCAGCAACTGGCCTGGCACATGGTATATCCATGTCCGGGGAAGCCTCAGCCCTCTCTGAGCCAGCTAGGAAGCTGGGGGACACAGGATACCCTAGAGGAGCATGAGCAACAGGAGGGCAGGAAAGGAGGTACTCGGGATCTGAGTCCTCGGCCCCTGTGTCCTTAGCCTTTCTTGTCATCCTTTCTGCCCTCTGAGGGCCTCTGTGGCGCCTCCTTCGCCATCCCCGCCAGCCAGGAAGCCACTGGACTGTGCTCACACGCACACACCCCTGGTGCATTTCTGGTGGTAATGTCCAGGTCTGTTGTCCTGGTCATTCTCCCACCCCAGGAAGCTCCAATAGAATGGGCCAAGTTACTCAGCTCTGAGTCCCAGCCCTGAGCCCAGGGGCTGACACATATCAGGGACCAACAGGGCTTCCTACAAAACTGCGGTATCATTCAGGAATCTTCTCTCAGATGAGTGTGGTGGTGTGTACCTGTATTCCCACAGGACGCTGAGGATGAGAGTTCAAGGCCAACCCAAACTACATAGTGAGACTCTGTCTCAAGCCCTGCTAAAAATGATAACAATCTTTCCCCACAATATATCCCTCCATCCCCAGAATTTAAAATATTTGCTCAGTTATCTATCATGTGCTGTGCTCTACCCATCGCCACCAATGTGGGTATGAACAGAGCAGACATGGCCCTCTCTGCCCTCTGGCATGCTCTGTCCTGTACCTGCAGTGTCTGGTTCCTATACTCTCCAGCTCCAGATTCTCCCTGTCCTTCTGCCTCCTGCTAACACCTGCCTCCCCTGAGAAGCCCTCCCAGACCTCCCCTGCACTTGCCATTATCCAGCCACCTCCCACCTAAGGCCTGGTCAGGACACAGCTCTGCCTGCGGAGGGAGTCTGTGATGTCAGCCAGCGTCTCAGCACAGCCGTGTACAGGGGTCACAGATATGGAGGACCCCACCCAGGCTCTCCCTTTACCTCAGAGTCTGTCCCTGTCCCATAGCTGAAGCTCCGCACCAGCTGCACTGGGTACCAGAGGCTCAGGAAGCCGAGGCCCAGCAGGAGAGGCAGAGAGGCCAGGAGGGAGTAGTACTTGTAGATCTGGACACAGACAAGCAGATAGACAGATCTACCTTTAGCCTTCTCCCCCAACCACAACCAGATCCACCTCCATTCTGATCTCATCCCAGTGACCACAGGACAGACAGGACAGCCTCGGGAAGCTTCTGGTTCTCTGCCCTCATCCTGGGCCACCCCCACAGCAGGCCTACTGACCCTTCTCCTGACACCCACAGGACTGGCACAGCCAAAGGAAGGTGGCTACACAATTCCACCCCCATTTCCAGGTTCCGTCACCCACTTTTTGGGTTTCTGTGTCCCAGCATATGAGGACACAGACTGATATCCCAGAAAGTAGACGGCAGCCTAATTCTGTATAGGTATAGTTTGCAACCTGAGCATCAAGTTCTGAGACTAAATTCTTCTCTGAACTCCTCCCCCACTCAACACTGGCCACATCCGTTTTCCTTCCTTTCCCATTATGGCCTAACCGAGGGAGGCTGGGGTCAGTGGTAGGGATCATAAGCTTCCTCCTCCTTCCTTTCGTCCCCCTCACCTGCCTTGTCCCCCGCCTCACCCCTAGAGGAGCCAAACTTGGTGCTGCCTATGCCTACAGGCATGGAATCCACGCATGAGGGAGCAGCCAGGCCCATAAACAGAGATAAAATAACAGTGCAGGTACAAGCAGGCTGCTCTGTGCACCCCTCGCTCCGGGCCACTATGAGTCAGTCAGTGGTTACCTTGGGTGTCTGAGGACACTCAACCCTCTGCCAGATGTGGACGCCCAAGTGGGCCCAGGATAGCACACTCCCAAATAGGTGAGCCACTCCATGCCTAGCTGTGGCACAGGCAGCCAAAGGGTAGTACAGAGCAGGGTAGTAGAGCAAGGCCAGCATCTTCCAGGGTCCTGGAAGGTGAAATGGGCAGAGAGACATACACTAGAGGGGCAGACATGGACCTCTCTTCAGACTCCTTCAGCCACACCCCTTCGCTGGCTCGGTGGCCAAGAGCTCTGAGTTCAAACCCAGGCTCGCCACCGACCAGCTCTGTGATCTTGGGCAAGTTACCTCTTGGAGTCCCAGCTGCCCCATCTGTAAGAAGAAATAATCACTGTGTTTTAACAAGAACAAGATGAGATCTATATACAGTGGCCACAGAAAGACTGTAACTCAGTTACTATTTATGGTGGCTTTTTCTCTGGCTTCTGGTTCCCTCCATTGTAAAATGGGGTGCTATCCACACCTTTTGCAGTTGTGCAGCAGGGCAGCTGTTCTCACCATCAACCCCTTGAGCCCACCCCATCACCCAGCTCCAGGCTGAGACTGCACAGTGTACCTGGGCCAGGCGTGGAGCCGAGGACCAGGAAGGGCAGCGGGTCCTCACTGGGGAGCAGAAGGCACAAGGCACTGAAGAGGACCATGAAGACAGCAGCAGGCACGGCCCAGGGTCTGTGCCCAGCCAGGAAATCCACAGGGCTGGCACAGAGATGGAGACATATCAGGAAGGGGCCGTCCACACCTAGGGATCACACTCAGGCCATCCAGGAACCAGGGGAGATGGAGAGCACCTGCCCTTTCATCCGTTCCTCTGGGAGTGTTTGTGCAGCCCCTCCATCTCCTGGCTCCCTCTGGGCTGTGCGTGGGAAAGGACAACGCGAGGGGACAAGCCCCAGCAGCAGCCCTGCTCCCTCCCACCCTCAGGAAGCTCCAGGAAACTTGGCCTCCACACTACCCCACTGTCTGTGTGGGCTGGCAGGGCTTCAGAGCGCTCAGAGCCACAACATCCTTGTGTAACAGCCGCCGCCTCTCCTGGGCGGGGACCGGGCTGGGCAGACAGCACACAGGCTGCCCTAGCATTGACCCCGGCCTCATGGCTCTGGTCCAGCTCTTCCCCAGGCTCCCTGCTCAGCCCGGGATCCCCTGCCAGGTCCCCACAAACCCAATGTGGTCTACACTCAGGCTCCCTTACCCCCTCCCCCAACCCTGTGGTGTCCCCTGCACCCATCTGCCCAGTCTCATCTCCTTGGGGTCACCTGCCCTGGGCTCTGAGGTAACACAGCTGGAGGAGAAAGTTCCACTGCAGGGAAGGTAAGTCCTTCTCTCCTGAGTCAGGCAGGGTCCCCAGACACCCTCAGGGACAGGAGGGTTAGGACAGCATCAGGTGGTGGTAACCGCAGGCAGCAGAACATTGAGGGCCACCCAAGTACTTAGAGTCAGGTCTCCTCTGTTCCTCAGTGGGTCCCCTTTCCACCTCAGGGCTTCTGAATACAAAGGATCTGGGTGGAGGTAGGCAGAGCCCCAATCAAGCAATGTCACTGACTCAGATCTGGCAGCTAATACCCAACATGCCCCACTCTCCCAGAGGGCCCTGAGCAAAGGAACCCAGGCCCAGCACCAACCTGGGCAGACCAGGCCTTCCTCGCCCACAGCCCTGCCTGAGACGGCGGCGCAACAGCAGCCAGGCCAGCAGCAGCAGGACAAGCATCTGGAAGGAGAGGGCAGGAGAGACTGTGTGCCCCAGGCCTTGGCCCCAGTCAGCCCCAGAGCACCCAATACCACCCAGTGCACACGCTGTGACATCTTGGGACTTCATCTTGGACTTGGCCTATACCCAGCTTGGATGCCCAACTGGGGCCATCCCTAATACTCACGCCTAGGGACCTGGGAGCCCCTGCACCAGTCCCTGCACCCAGGTGGGCACACGTGGCAGACCAGCTGGACTCACCGACAGCACAGCCAGACAGGCATGGCACAGGGCAGGTGGCACGCTGGGCTGGCAGGAGGGTACCTCCCTGTGGGGCAAAGGAAGGCTGGCTCAGCCTGTGAGGCCTGGTGCGCTGCTGGGTCTGGGGTCAAGGCTGTGTATACTGCAGTTCCACCCAGCGTCTCCCTCAACTCTCTGCCCTCTCCTACGCAGTGCCTAATTCTCAGTTCTTCCTGCGTTAAGCCCTGGGGCTCTGGGGCCCTAGGGCTGGAGATCTCAGGCTCCTGGGAAGTCATCCTGGCTGAAGCACTTTGTCTAACTCACCCATTGTCCCTGTCCTCCAAAGCCACATTATCCTCCCACTCTAGGAAGATCTACCTGCCCCTGCTCACCTCCTTGGATTCTCTCTACTTGGTCCAGGGATTCACTCTCTACTTGTGGGACTCTCAGAGTGGCTGCCTTGAGAGGATCTGACTCCCCAAGAATGGAGAACCTCACGTTCTCAGAGCCCCTCAGCCTGAATCTCCTCAGGCCACCGGGGCGGGGCCAGGTCCCGCTCAGCCCTGTGCCCCCAGGCCTAGCCAGGTAGGGCCCTGGCATGCAATCCCTGGAGCAGCTGGACCATTTCCCCAAGGCCTCTGCCCCAAACCAGGAGCCACACCCTGAGCATCCTCTCTAGGGCCCCAAAGTCCCTGTCTGACCCTCAGCTCAGTGTGTTCACCCCATGAGTTGTTTGTGTGACCACTCATGGACTCTTGTTTTGTGTCATGGGACAGGCAGGGACATTGCCACAAGGAGCAGGAGGCTCCATCCCAGGAGAGGCACAACAGGGGTAAAGGGTGCCAGAAGAAGAGGAGGGTTCTGATTTGAGTGTGGGTTAGTGTTGGCATCTCTCTGGACAAAGAAGAAGGGGAAAGGAAGCCCTAAGGAAGAGGAAGTGGTGAAGAGGACAAGGAGCGGATGGGAAACAGGGTAGGTGGTACCAGGTTTGATGATGGCCCAGAGGTGGGGCTGGGCCATGTTGGAGGAGGTGGGGGGGGCTGTGAGAATTAGGGTGTCTGAGCAGGGCCATGTCCCAGCATTTGGGAGCTTTCTGTGGCTGAGCCCACCCTAGCCACAGTCACGAGTACCCACCAACCCCAGCTCCAGCTCAGGGCACAGTGGACCACCATCTGGAGCCTTAACACACCACATCCCAAGAGTGTGTGACTGACAGGGAGAGAAGTGAGCCCAAGTTCACAGCCTTGGGATTCCCCTACCCTCCCAGGTTCCTGCTCCCCTTTTAGAGTGGGGGTGAGTGGGAGAATTAGCAAGTATCTCATCTTGGTTTTGCTAACCAAGTAAAATCAAACTACCTTCTTTTCCTGTGGACACTGTGTCCCACGGTGAGAGAAGAGGGCTTCAGATTTCAGTTGCCACCCACATGGGGGGCCATATCTCCAGCATTCCTAGCACCAAATCCCCCAACTTTATTTGGAGACTATATCTCTGGCCACAGAGCTGGTGCAGGTGTCTGGCTCCCAGCCAGTGCACAGTCCCTGGCACTCCCAAGGACATGGCTTCTGAAAAGGACTCAGCCAGGTCAGGCTCCCAGTCCTCCAGGGGCTCCCAGAGCCTTCCCCAGCCCATACACACATACACATACACATACACAGGTGGCCAGAACTCCAAGTCCTCCAAACAATAGTACTTCCCCTAGGCCTGGGCAGGGCCTCTGTCCCTTGTGTGGGTGACCCAGGCCTGACCAGGCTTCAGCCCCAGCCCTAAGGAGGTGCACCAGCATTTTTCCTTCTCTAGTTTCAAGATTTAATGGAGAACAGATGTGCACACATCTGGCTCAGCACACGCGCACACACACACACACACACCTCTGGGCAGGGCCTCTGTCCCTTGTGTGGGTGACCCAGGCCTGACCAGGCTTCAGCCCCAGCCCTAAGGAGGTGCACCAGCATTTTTCCTTCTCTAGTTTCAAGATTTAATGGAGAACAGATGTGCACACATCTGGCTCAGCACACGCGCGCACACACACACACACACACACACACACAAACACACAGGTACATACACAGATATACACTCACCTTTCCAGTCCCTGCAAAACCCTTAGACAAAGCAGGGAGGCAGGGGATGGGCCAGGGTCAACAGGGGAGAACTGGACTCTGAGTCTCACATGGCTGGGTGGCCCTGGCAGCAGGTGGAAGACACAGAAAGACCCAGCTCCTCGGCCAAGGTGCCCAGATTAAACCACACAATGAAAAATGGGCCAGGGTGAGCTGGCTGCCTGCCTCCCTCCCCAACCTCCCCTGGTCCTAGCACCTTTTCTACAGAAACTAGACCTGTGCATCTTCCCTCCCAAGACTTCAGAGGTCCAAAGACAACAGAGCAAGCAGAGTTCGCCCATGAGTTCCACTCCAAACCCCCTCCTTTCATCCTGGTTCTCTGCTTTTCCACCCTCCCAGCAGGTCCAGAGAACCTGACACCTGTAAGGTCCTTTCAGCCTCTCTCCGTGCTCCTCCCAGCTGGCTGACAGCCAGGTCACCAAGAGCACCCCAGACTTGCAAGGCTGGAGCACCCAGTGCTGTCCACCAGCCTGGCCCAGGTCCCCCTACCTCAAGCATTTTAATAGCAGGGCTGGAGCTGTTTAGAACCGAATGCAGACTGAAGCCCAGAGAAGCTGTGGCTTGTCCAGGGTCACACAGCAAAGGAATAGCAAGGCCATCTTTGCCCAGAGTCCGTGCCCCACATCCCACTCTGATAACCGGCACAATGGAGCTGCCACACTCACCCCTCTGGCTGGAGCTCCTTGTCCCCCTGGGGCTCATCGATGTACCAGCTGCTGTAGTCATCTGCACCCCCAGAAGAGGTCTGGTTCCCTTCTGCCTGGGACAAGGACATTCTCAGGCCTTTCTTGTTTGACCCCCAGACAAGAGAAGGAAAGAAAAAAAAAGGAAAAAAATGTGAAAAGAGGCTTAAAAAAAAAAAAAAAGAAAAAACCCAAACAAAGAAAGATTTCTTTTTAATCCTAAAGGTTACTTTCTTGCTTTTGGCTCTCTGGGAAAAGCCGGCCTAGGACTGCAGGCCTGGGAAGGCTGGCACAGGAGGAGGGGAAGGGCTTCCCCTGTCCCTTCCCACCCAGTCCTGCCCAGCCCACAGAGACAGTTATCTGGGTACACGCTTCGGGGTCCCTGAGTTCTGGCTACAGCACCTATTCGGCTGTCTGAACACTCAAAAGATCACTTGCAAAGATGTGCCGGTGCACAGGTCCCCAGACCCCCTTCCTTCCCGCCCATCCCACAGATGGACCCACAGGCACAGCCGAAGGGAGGCCCTAAGAGGAAGGAGCTGTGGAGATGAAAGGGTGGGCGGGCAGCAGGCGGCTCCACTCCAGCTGCCCAGTCAGGCTCTCCCGGCTGGGCTCCCACCGCTCCTACTCTTGGGGTCCAGCCTGACCTCCCACCTTTTGCCCATTGTCCCTGGAGACTCTCCCCAGCCTCCACTGCCCTGTGTGACCCCTGGAGGCTCAGTGGCAGGACCATTGTCCTTGGTGAAGTCCCCAAGGAGGGGAGCATGGCCACAAGAAGCAGCACCTGACCATGGGGCACACGTACCTGCCCTCAGCAACTGCCCCAGCACCCGCCCCAGCACCCCTGCACCTCTGCCCACCACATGTGCAGAGCTGGGGATGGCAGCAGCCCACAGAGACAGAGAGGGGAGCTGGGCCGTCTCCTGGGGTTTCCAGGAAGGAGGCCACATGCGTCTCACTGGTAGAACCTTTTTGTTCCTACAACTTGATTTCACAAGAAGATAACTCATTCTCATAGGCGGAAATGAGTCCTTTAAACACGAACCAGACCTACGGGCAGGCAAGTAGCACCCCGCCTCCTGCTGATTCTCCTGCCTGGGCCTGGGTTCCTCTTTCCTTCTCCCGGGGTAGCTGGACCTCTGGCCACCCAGGATGGGAGAGGCAGAGAAAGGTCTCAGCCATGTCCCAGGGTGGAGATATGGCTCCCTGAAACTTTGAGGGTCCCCATCCTTCCAGTATTTCATAGTGGAGGGCCCCATGCCTTTGCTTCTTCTTTCTACAGAAACTCAGGGAACGCCTACTATGCTGATACCTGCCGTGTGCCCACTATGTTCCCTGGGGCTGGGACACTTACAGTTCTGAGTGCCTGTCAAATTCCAGAGCCTGAGGCTACCACCCCCAACCCTCAACCCCGATTCTGCAGGAGAGAAATCAGCTCCCTGACTCTAAGGAGCCTGAGCTTTAGGGGGACAAGGCAGGAGCTCACCCCAGGGTCAGGGGGTGATAGTTGTCCTCAGGCTTGGGCCCACAGAGAGCTGTCCTCTGCCTTTCTTCCCATGAGCACAAAGCCTGCTCTGAGGTCAGAGGGACTTTGGAAATTGAGTTTGGCAAAGATTGTAACATTGTCAACTGTTCACAGGCCTGTCCTGTAAGATGGATGTCACCGGCCAAGCTTTCAAGAGCCCTCGGCTCCATTGCCAGAACCACCCTTGCCTTTCACCTCTCAGGGATCTCAGAACCTGAGCTTGGGAGCAATCTTACCAATTTAAATCCCCCTCACAAGACTCTGACACCCCTGGAGCCTCATCCCTGATGGGAGTTCACACCCCACGCAGGCAGACTGCGCCCCCCACCCCACTCATTGGAACATGTCCTACCCAAATCTGCCTCCCCTGGCTGGTTTGTTCATTCATTCAACAGATCTTCTGGGCCAGGTAATACTGCTGCCATGGCAGAAGACAAGCCCTGCACCTCAGGTGGACTTAACAGGTAATGGTGTGGAGGGGACAAAGCCATGTCCTACATGCTGAGATGGAAATGAAGAGAGGAGAAAAGACAGGCAGAGTTGGAGCTGGCTGCTCCAGATAGGAGGAAGGAAAAGGCTGATCTGGGAGGTGATATTTGGAGAGTCATGGAGAAGGGAGGGAAGAAGAAACCCCTTCAGCCTTAGGGGTGCATCCAGACTAGAAAAGCCCCCCAAATCCAGGCACAATCCCTCCCTGCTCTGGACCAAACTTGCTCCCTGTAAAGGACTTCCTGTTGGTACTGTCCCCACTCTTGTGACCCCTCATGAGTCCAAGATACATGATGCCACCTCTTTTCTCACTGGGGAGATGGAGGCAGGTACCTCAGGCTGGCAGGGTGGTGCAGGTAGGAGGTGTGGCCTGGCAGGGAGGCAGCTGTCAGTCTGAGCCCTGGGCTGGATTTGGCCCTGTGAGTCTCTTCCCTCTCTTGGTCTGGGCCCCACCTCTAGTGCTTCCAACCCCAAGATTCCTCTGTTGTGGGCACCCCCACACACACACTCACCCTGTCCTCCCTCAGTGACTTCACAGCTCAAGAATGCAGAGCCAGCGCACCAGATCCAGTCATAGCAAGCAGATCAAAGCCACAGAGTTGGCCAGGGTGCCCAGGTGCCCACTGCCTTCCACCTCCCCTTCTGTCCCCAGCTCCACCCCCCTCCGTGGGGGCAGGTGAGGATCCATGGGTGCCGGATGGCCACACAGCTCCAGCTGGGAAGCAGACCCCACTTCTTGAGTCTGAGGTGTCCATCTGCAAATGGAAGGCTGGCTCAAGGGTGTCAGGAAGGAGGCAGCTGGCAAGGAACAGGGCTGGGGAGAAAAAGACAGTAAGGCTGCACCCCTGGAGGACTTCTCCAAAGGCCTGGCAGCAGGATCATGGGCACTCGTGCCCACAAGGGTCAGTGGGAAGCAGCTCTGCTATCAGTGGAGGGCTGGGAAGCAGGGACTCTTGGGGACACCTACAGAGGCGCAGAGGGTGAGGGAGTAAAGAACAGGCTTGGGAAATCTTGAAGCCTTCCTGGAGGAAGTGGTGCAGGGCAGGGCTCTGAGGCCAGAGAATAGTAAGTAGCAAGAATGAAGTCTAAGCAGCTCAGGAGAGCAGAGATGGGGTGTGCAAGAGGAAGGAAGAGAGACTGGTAGGGCAAGGTCAGCCCACTCTCCTGCAAGGCCTCACAAACCCTGGGGCACTCTGAGGTGGGGGGATGCCACTGTCCCTGGAGCATCCCAGGCCAGCAGAGATCCCCCTCTGTGGTGGGTGAGACAGCTAAGTCCTGACTTCCATGAGAAGAAGGAGTCCTCAAATCTGCACTCAGCCAATGAAGGCCATCTGCCATCTGGGCCTGGCATGGGGCACCCGCCCCCAGGCTGCAGCTGGCCCATGAAACCCTGGGACAGGGCTTCCTTCCTCTCTGTGTTTTTGTTCAAGTTGATTAAACCCAAGGAATGCCTGTGTCCAGGGATGGAGACCACGTGTGTGCCCTCAGCTGTCTGTGTTCATCAAACCTTTCCAGGGCAAAGAGCTAAGCCCAGAGAAGGCCAGAAACATCCCCAGGACCTCAAAAACACTCCATGGACCCGCAATGTCCAGGGTACCTGCAGGAGCTCAGCAAATTCCCAAAACTTCAGTGACAACCCAGACCCCTCCAGAACTTCTCCATCGCCCCCAGGAAGCCTCAGAACTGTAGAAACCCCACAGAACCACTGCCATACCTTGAGACCTCAGCAACATGGGACATTGAGATGTTGGTAAATCAAGCCTGGGTCACAGCAAGATGGCCCACACCACAGGGAGCAGAAGCCTGGGTCACAGCAAGATGGCCCACACCACAGGGAGCAGGTTCCACACCTGTCAGCAGCAGGATGAGGAGGACCAGACCTGTGTGCCTGCCTGAGCAGCCTGGGGACCCTCGCAGCCCACAGGCGACCAGCCAAAGCAGGTCAGCCCCAGACAGGCGAGGGCACAGGGGCTGCCCACATGTGTACACACATACACATGCATGCATATGCACACTCACACTCATGCACACATGCACACTCCAAACTGCCCAGCATGCACAGCTGAACTCTGGCCCCCCTGCAGTGGCCTGGGGAGCAAGGCTGCCGGGAGAGGAAAAGTATGGGTGTCTTTCGCCCTCCTGTCTCCAGTGCCATCAAGGACATGAGGACATCTGTGATATGTTCATCCCAGGATTCTTGTGGTCCTGCAACAGTACCACTGCCCTGACAGGAGGGACTTAGGCCATCCTGCCCTGGGAGGAGAATGAGCCTTGTGGAGAGGAAAAGGAAAAGGAATGGAGGAGGAGGAGGAGGAAGAGGGGGGGGAGAGGGGGAAGGGGAGGAGGGGGAGAAGGAAGGTGACCTGATGTTCCAGGAGAGTGGTGCCCTCTTCCTTCCTTTTCCTTCCCTTCCCAGAGGGCTGTGCTAGAACTGGCTTGGTGAAAGGCAGGTAGGGAGGCAGATTTCAGCTCAGGACAAAGGCAGCTTTCTTACTCTCATGGAGTAGTGAGATTCCCTTCATGGGAGGCAGTCAAGAAAAG